ACATGGTACTAGAGTGAAGGGAAGGGTGCACATGATGCTAGAGTGAAGGGAAGGGTGCACATGGAGCTAAAGTGAAGGGAAGGGTGCACATGGTGCTAGAGTGAAGGGAAGGGTGCACATAGTGCTAGAGTGAAGGGAAGGGTGCACATGGTGCTAGAGTGAAGGGAAGGGTAAACATAGTGCTAGAGTGAAGGGAAGGGTGCACATGATGCTAGAGTGAGGGGAAGGGTAAACATAGTGCTAGAGTGAAGGGAAGGGCGCACATGGTGCTAGAGGGAAGGGAAGGGTGCACATAGCGCTAGAGTGAAGGGAAGGGTGCACATAGTACTAAAGTAAAGGGAAGGGTGCACATAATCTAGAGTGAAGGGAAGGCTGCAAATTGTACTATGCCCACTGGAAGAGTGTGAACGGAGTTAGAGCGAGAGTAATGGTATGCATATTATTAGAGAGATGGGAAGATTGTACATGGTAACAGAGTGAGGGAAAAAGTTTGCATTGCAAAATATATAGAGAGAGGACGAGTGATCATGGTGCTGTAGTGAATAATCTGCATGGTACAAGAGTCTGCATGGTACAAGAGCCTTCATGGTACAAGAGTCTGCATGGTACAAGTGTCTGCATGGTACAAGAGCCTGCATGGTACAAGTGTCTGCATAGTACAAGAGTCTGCATGGTACATGAGTCTGCATGGTGCAAGAGTCTACATGGTAGAAGACTCTGCATGGTACAAGACTCTGCATGGTACAAAAGTCTGTATGGTACAAGAGTCTGCAAGTTACAAGAGTCTGCATGGTATAAGACTCTGCATGGTACAAGAGTTTGCATGGTACAAGAGTCTGCATGGTACAAGAGTCTGCATGGTACAAGAGTCTGCATGGTACAAGGGTCTCCATGGTACAAGAGTCTGCATGGTACAAGAGTCTCCATGGTTCTATAATCTGCATAGTACAAGAGTCTCCATGTTACAAGAGTCTGGATGGTACAAGAATCTGCATGGTGCAAGAGTTTGCATGGTACAAGAATCTCCATGGTACAAGAGTCTGCATGATACAGGAGTCTGCATGGTACAAGAGTCTGCATGGTACAAGACTCTGCATGGTACAAGAGTTTCCATGGTACAAGACCCTGCATGGTAAAAGAGTCTGCATGGTACAAGAGTCTCCATGATACAAGTGTCTGCATGGTACAAGAGTCTCCATGGCACAAGAGTCTCCATGGTACAAGTCTGCATGGTACAAGATTCTGCATGCTACTAGAGTCGGCATGGTACAAGACTCTGCATGGTACAAGAGTCTGCATAGTACAAGAGTCTGCATGGTACAAGAGTCTGCATGGTACAAGAGTCTGCATGGTACAAGAGTCTGCATGATACGAGAGTCTGCATGGTACAAGAGTCTGCATGGTACAAGTGTCTGCATGGTATAAGAGTCTGCATGGTACAAGAGTCTGCATGGTACAAGAGTCTGCATGGTACAAGAGTCTCCATGGTACAAGTGTCTACATGGTACAAGAGTCTGCATGGTACAAGAGTCTCCATGGTGCAAGAGTCTGCATGGTACAAGAATCTGCATGGTGCTAGAGTCTGCATGGTACAAGAGTCTGCATGGTACAAGAGTCTGCATGGTACAAGAGCCTGCATGGTACAAGAATCTGTATGGTACAAGAGTCTGCATAGTACAAGAGTCTGCATGGTACAAGAGTCTGCATGGTACAAGAGCCTGCATGGTACAAGAATCTGTATGGTACAAGAGTCTGTATGGTACAAGAGTCTGCATGGTACAAGAGTCTGCACAGTACAAGAGTCTGCATGGTACAAGAGTCTGCATGGTGCAAGAGCCTGCATGGTACAAGAATCTGTATGGTACAAGAGTCTGCATGGTACAAGAGTCTGCATGGTACAAGAGTCTGCATGGTACAAGAGCCTGCAAGGTACAAGAATCTGTATGGTACAAGAGTCTGCATGGTACAAGAGTCTGCATGGTACAAGAGTCTGCATGGTACAAGAGCCTGCAAGGTACAAGAATCTGTATGGTACAAGAGTCTGCATGGTCCAAGAGTCTCCATGGTTCAAGAGTCTGCATGGTACAAGAGTCTGCATGGTTCAAGAGTCTGCATGGTACAAGAGTCTCCATGGTACAAGTGTTTGCATGGTACAAGAGTTTGCATGGTACAAGGGTCTCCATGGTACAAGAGTCTGCATGGTACAAGAGTCTCCATGGTACAAGAGTCTGGATGGTACAAGAGTCTCCATGGTACAAGAGTATGCATGGTACAAGAGTCTGCATGGTACAAGGGTCTCCATGGTACAAGAGTCTGCATGGTTCAAGAGTCTGCATGGTACAAGAGTCTGCATGGTTCAAGAGTCTGCATGGTACAAGAGTCTCCATGGTACAAGTGTTTGCATGGTACAAGAGTTTGCATGGTACAAGGGTCTCCATGGTACAAGAGTCTGCATGGTACAAGAGTCTCCATGGTACAAGAGTCTGCATGGTACAAGAGTCTCCATGGTACAAGAGTCTGCATGGTACAAGAGTCTGCATGGTACAAGGGTCTCCATGGTACAAGAGTCTGCATGGTACAAGAGTCTCCATGGTTCTATAATCTGCATGGCACAAGAGTCTCCATGGTACAAGTCTGCATGGTACAAGATTCTGCATGCTACTAGAGTCGGCATGGTACAAGACTCTGCATGGTACAAGAGTCTGCATAGTACAAGAGTCTGCATGGTACAAGAGTCTGCATGGTACAAGAGTCTGCATGGTACAAGAGTCTGCATGATACGAGAGTCTGCATGGTACAAGAGTCTGCATTGTACAAGTGTCTGCATGGTATAAGAGTCTGCATGGTACAAGAGTCTGCATGGTACAAGAGTCTGCATGGTACAAGAGTCTCCATGGTACAAGTGTCTACATGGTACAAGAGTCTGCATGGTACAAGAGTCTCCATGGTGCAAGAGTCTGCATGGTACAAGAATCTGCATGGTGCTAGAGTCTGCATGGTACAAGAGTCTGCATGGTACAAGAGTCTGCATGGTACAAGAGCCTGCATGGTACAAGAATCTGTATGGTACAAGAGTCTGCATAGTACAAGAGTCTGCATGGTACAAGAGTCTGCATGGTACAAGAGCCTGCATGGTACAAGAATCTGTATGGTACAAGAGTCTGCATGGTACAAGAGTCTGCATGGTACAAGAGTCTGCACAGTACAAGAGTCTGCATGGTACAAGAGTCTGCATGGTACAAGAGTCTGCATGGTGCAAGAGCCTGCATGGTACAAGAATCTGTATGGTACAAGAGTCTGCATGGTACAAGAGTCTGCATGGTACAAGAGTCTCCATGGTACAAGAGCCTGCAAGGTACAAGAATCTGTATGGTACAAGAGTCTGCATGGTACAAGAGTCTCCATGGTTCAAGAGTCTGCATGGTACAAGAGTCTGCATGGTTCAAGAGTCTGCATGGTACAAGAGTCTCCATGGTACAAGTGTTTGCATGGTACAAGAGTTTGCATGGTACAAGGGTCTCCATGGTACAAGAGTCTGCATGGTACAAGAGTCTCCATGGTACAAGAGTCTGCATGGTACAAGAGTCTCCATGGTACAAGAGTCTGCATGGTACAAGAGTCTGCATGGTACAAGGGTCTCCATGGTACAAGAGTCTGCATGGTACAAGAGTCTCCATGGTTCTATAATCTGCATGGTACAAGAGTCTCCATGTTACAAGAGTCTGCATGGTACAAGAGTCTCCATGGTACAAGAGTCTGCATGGTACAAGAGTCTCCATGGTACAAGAGTTTGCACGGTAAAAGAGTAAATGAGCCAAAGTTTTGCATGGTAGGAGAGTGAAGGAGACAACTTAAGGTGTTAGAGTGAAGGAAACAGGACAGTCATGTGGCGCCAGACTTGAAGAAAGGGATGGACGTAACAGGATAAAATGAAGGAAGGAAGAGACTAAAAAACTATATAATAATAACACATGTATTTTTAAATAAATATGATTTTTTACATTTCTTATTACATGGATAATACAATGATTAGGTTAACAGTTTTCTTGTGTACAGAAAAGTTTCAAGGAACCCCCCCCCCATCCTCCTTGTTATTATAAACAGATGTTTGGAAAAGTAAAGAGAATCTTTAAAGATAAGATAGATCAATGGAAAATACACGTAGATGACAGGTGATACAATTTGAAAATGACAGGTCACGGCACCTTTTTGATTCAGTGAATATGATAAAAGAAAATCCCTCCTGACTATAAGCAAGGAATTGAGTTACTTTACTGAGTAATAGTTTGGTGACTTTCTTATACTACTGAGTTAAAGCAAAGAACTGATTTTCATACCTTTCTGAATGATAATAAATGACTGGTTTACCTTCATGCAGGAGAACAAGGCACTGACTTACTCTCCTGAGTGAGAGCCCTAGCTGAGAGCCCTGGCTGAGAGCCCTTACTGAGAGCTCTGGCTGAGAGTCCTGGCTGAGGACCCTGGCTGAGAATCCTGGCTGAGAGCCCTGACTGAGAACCCTGGCTGAGAGCCCTGGCTGAGAGCAAGGAACTGATCAACTTTCCTGCTTGAGTAAGAGCCCTGGGTGAGGGCCCTACCTGAGAGCCCTGACTGAGAGCCCTGGCTTAGAGCAAGCAATTGATCAACTTTCCTTCTTGAGTGAAACCCCTGGCTGAGAGCCCTGGTTGAGAACAAGGAAGTGATGAACTTTCCTTCGTGAGTAAGAGCCCTGGCTGAGAGCCCTGGCTGAGAGAAGGGACGTGATCAACTTTCCTTCGTGAGTAAGAGCCCTGGCTGAGAGTAAGGAACTTATCAACTTTCCTTCCTGAGTGAAAGCTGTTATCTGACTTAAGCACTTGAGTAACAACAACGAATTGATTTATAATGGACGGACTCACCCTCCTGAGTGATAAGAGGCAGATTTACCCTCCTGAGTGATGGGAAACAAGGAGAGGAATTATTCTACTGATATCAGTCAGGAACAGGCTACCAGTACTTACCTTCCCGAGTAACAGCAGGACTTGTCTTCACAATTTTATACACTGCTTTAGAGGTGAGTGTATCCCTGTAAAGAGACAAGAGCTATAGCTTTTCAACAGAAGAAAATAATGTTCACTCAATCGTCTTTAACTTTCTCGTATCTCGTATCTCCTGAGTCATGTCATTTTCCCCTCTTACATAAGACAGTCCTCTGCATTACATATCTAAAGATAATTTTCTTAATTAATAATTTCCTGACTCTAGCATTTATTTGTCTGTTAATCTTGAATAAACATTACCATGTATCTGTTATATCCGAGTAAACACTGTCTTCTAGAAGTCATCACAGAATGAACAATTCTCTCTACCTGTTATCCCTGAATGAACACTTACTTCTCTCTGTTATTTAAATGAACTCTGTGCTTTACCTGTTTCTCCGGAATGAACATTACCCTCTACCTGTCTCTCCGGAATGAACGTTACCCTCTACCTACCTGTCTCTCCGGAATGAACATTACCCTCTACTTGTCATCTGAATAAACACTTCACCTTTCATCCATGAGTGAACGTTCTTCTATTAATCATTTCCTGACGGAATGGTCATTCAGTCAGGAGATGACCGAATGAGCATTATCTGACCTAATATAACCAAACACCTGTTATTTCGTTCCGATCAGCTGTTTCCTTCTGATATAAAACCAATTAATACAGAATAAGACTATAATATACTACTTTACGTTGAGGAGTGAGCTTTAACAAGATAAACCAGAGTTTCTGTTAGCTGCAACAGTCAATGTTTCCCTTGATAAAAGACTGATGTTAAACCGTTTTACCCTAGACAAGAAAATTTTCAAGTCAGTCTTCTTACCAAAAAGATATAATTACATGTGTTCTTTCCATTTCTCATTCCCACCCCCCCACCCCAAACTGCCAGTTGTTTCTGCGTATCCCTTTTTGGTCTAAAGCTGGTATTAAATGTTTCGTAAACGATATCAGTTCATTATTCAGAGAGGAAAAAATCTACTTGGTGCGTAGGTGTATCTGAAGACACGTAAAAGTTGTGTAATCAATACCCGAACGGTGAGCCATTGCAGCGTCAACAGGGAGCCCACCTGTGTTGGTCTCGAAACTGCTCCTTCCTCTTGGACAAATGCTGCCTTTATCTACCACTTTCATCAGCGACAGTCTCACCTGCTTTGTGAATTAATCCTATTCAAGGTGCTGCCGTCGACTGTTTCAGGCTTTTCTGTGCTCCGGATGATGGAGAAACTACCTCCTCTGTTGGAGATGGCACCAATGTGAAGCGCTGACAGGCATATATCAGAATCCTAGAAGAAGAAAAGGAGGTAACAGGAAAAGTTGGGAGTGCCAGTTGTTACCAGTAAGAGAGCACTTTCAAGAGCATAATATTTGTAAAGAATAAAATTCATGAAGGAACTCTTGAGCATCATAAGTTGAAGTTAAAGTTTTTTTAAAGAAACTATCATTAGCAAAGTTAAGTCATTGTAATAAACACAAGTGACTATTTTTTAATTTACATAGCGAGTAAACATTACTGTTGGGTTTATTGCCCTTAAAATATTACATTAAATAATTAAATAAATTTTTAAATTAACTGAGCATCCAACCTTCAGGGTGAATTTTTACCTATACACATCTAGGTGTCCATGTATCTAGTCTTAACACAATAATTGTAAGTGGTTATCTATCACCTGGAAATGTTCTGTACAAACAAGACGTACTATTGTACCTCCATGAAGCACAATTGTACCTCCATGAAGCACTGTTGTACCTCCATGAAGCACTATTGTAACTCCATGAAGCACTATTGTAACTCCATGAAGCACTATTGTACCTCCATGAAGCACTATTGTACCTCCATGAAGCACTATTGTACCTCCATGAAGCACTATTGTAACTCCATGAAGCACTATTGTACCTCCATGAAGCACTATTGTACCTCCATGAAGCACTATTGTACCTCCATGAAGCACTATTGTACCTCCATGAAGCACTATTGTAACTCCATGAAGCACTATTGTACCTCCATGAAGCACTATTGTACCTCCATGAAGCACTATTGTACCTGCATGAAGCACTATTATACCTCCATGAAGCACTATTGTACCTCCATGAAGCACAATTGTACCTCCATGAAGCACTGTTGTACCTCCATGAAGCACTATTGTAACTCCATGAAGCACTATTGTAACTCCATGAAGCACTATTGTACCTCCATGAAGCACTATTGTACCTCCATGAAGCACTATTGTACCTCCATGAAGCACTATTGTAACTCCATGAAGCACTATATGTACCTCCATGAAGCACTATTGTACCTCCATGAAGCACTATTGTACCTCCATGAAGCACTATTGTACCTCCATGAAGCACTATTGTAACTCCATGAAGCACTATTGTACCTCCATGAAGCACTATTGTACCTCCATGAAGCACTATTGTACCTGCATGAAGCACTATTATACCTCCATGAAGCACTATTGTACCTCCATGAAGCACTATTGTACCTCCATGAAGCACTATTGTACCTCCATGAAGCACTATTGTACCTCCATGAAGCACTATTGTACCTCCATGAAGCACTATTGTAACCTCCATGAAGCACTATTGTACCTCCATGAAGCACTATTGTAACTCCATGAAGCACTATTGTACCTCCATGAAGCACTATTGTAACTTAATGAAGCACTATTGTAACTCCATGAAGCACTATTGTACCTCCATGAAGCACTATTGTAACTCCATGAAGCACTATTGTACCTCCATGAAGCACTATTGTAACTCCATGAAGCACTGTTGTACCTCCATGAAGCACTATTGTACCTCCATGAAGCACTATTGTACCTCCATGAAGCACTATTGTACCTCCATGAAGCACTATTGTACTCCATGAAGCACTATTGTAACTCCATGAAGCACTATTGTACCTCCATGAAGCACTATTGTAACTCCATGAAGCACTATTGTACCTCCATGAAGCACTATTGTACCTCCATGAAGCACTATTGTACCTCCATGAAGCACTATTGTAACTCCATGAAGCACTATTGTACCTCCATGAAGCACTATTGTACCTCCATGAAGCACTATTGTACCTCCATGAAGCACTATTGTACCTCCATGAAGCACTATTGTAACTCCATGAAGCACTATTGTACCTCCATGAAGCACTATTGTACCTCTATGAAGCACTATTGTACCTCCATGAAGCACTATTGTACCTCCATGAAGCACTATTGTACCTCCATGAAGCACTATTGTACCTCCATGAAGCACTATTGTACCTCCATGAAGCACTATTGTAACTCCATGAAGCACTATTGTACCTCCATGAAGCACTATTGTAACTCCATGAAGCACTATTGTAACTCCATGAAGCACTATTGTACCTCCATGAAGCACTATTGTAACTCCATGAAGCACTATTGTACCTCCATGAAGCACTATTGTAACTCCATGAAGCACTGTTGATACCTCCATGAAGCACTATTGTACCTCCATGAAGCACTATTGTACCTCCATGAAGCACTATTGTACCTCCATGAAGCACTATTGTAACTCCATGAAGCACTATTGTACCTCCATGAAGCACTATTGTAACTCCATGAAGCACTGTTGTACCTCCATGAAGCACTATTGTACCTCCATGAAGCACTATTGTTAACTCCATGAAGCACTATTGTACCTCCATGAAGCACTATTGTACCTCCATGAAGCACTATTGTAACTCCATGAAGCACTATTGTACCTCCATGAAGCACTATTGTACCTCCATGAAGCACTATTGTACCTCCATGAAGCACTATTGTAACTCCATGAAGCACTATTGTAACCTCCATGAAGCACTATTGTACCTCCATGAAGCACTATTGTAACTCCATGAAGCACTATTGTACCTCCATGAAGCACTATTGTACCTCCATGAAGCACTATTGTACCTCCATGAAGCACTATTGTACCTCCATGAAGCACTATTGTACCTCCATGAAGCACTATTGTAACTCCATGAAGCACTATTGTAACTCCATGAAGCACTGTTGTACCTCCATGAAGCACTATTGTACCTCCATGAAGCACTATTGTACCTCCATGAAGCACTATTGTACCTCCATGAAGCACTATTGTACCTCCATGAAGCACTATTGTAACTCCATGAAGCACTATTGTACCTCCATGAAGCACTATTGCAACTCCATGAAGCACTGTTGTACCTCCATGAAGCACTATTGTAACTCCATGAAGCACTATTGTACCTCCATGAAGCACTATTGTACCTCCATGAAGCACTATTGTAACTCCATGAAGCACTATTGTACCTCCATGAAGCACTATTGTAACTCCATGAAGGACTTTTGTACCTCCATGAAGCACTATTGTACCTCCATGAAGCACTATTGTACCTCCATGAAGCACTATTGTACCTGCATGAAGCACTATTGTACCTCCATGAAGCACAATTGTACCTGCATGAAGCACTATTGTACCTCCATGAAGCACTATTGTACCTCCATGAAGCACTATTGTAACTCCATGAAGCACTGTTGTACCTCCATGAAGCACTATTGTACCTCCATGAAGCACTATTGTAACTCCATGAAGCACTATTGTACCTCCATGAAGCACTATTGTAACTCCATGAAGCACTGTTGTACCTCCATGAAGCACATTGTAACTCCATGAAGCACTATTGTAACTCCATGAAGCACTATTGTAACCTCCATGAAGCACTATTGTACCTCCATGAAGCACTATTGTACCTCCATGAAGCACTATTGTAACTCCATGAAGCACTATTGTACCTCCATGAAGCACTATTGTAACTCCATGAAGCACTATTGTACCTCCATGAAGCACTATTGTACCTCCATGAAGCACTATTGTAACTCCATGAAGCACTATTGTAACTCCATGAAGCACTGTTGTACCTCCATGAAGCACTATTGTACCGCCATGAAGCACTATTGTACCTCCATGAAGCACTATTGTACCTCCATGAAGCACTATTGTACCTCCATGAAGCACTATTGTAACTCCATGAAGCACTATTGTACCTCCATGAAGCACTATTGTAACTCCATGAAGCACTGTTGTAACCTCCATGAAGCACTATTGTACCTCCATGAAGCACTATTGTACCTCCATGAAGCACTATTGTACCTGCATGAAGCACTATTGTACCTCCATGAAGCACTATTGTACCTGCATGAAGCACTATTGTACCTCCATGAAGCACTATTGTACCTCCATGAAGCACTATTGTAACTCCATGAAGCACTGTTGTACCTCCATGAAGCACTATTGTACCTCCATGAAGCACTATTGTAACTCCATGAAGCACTATTGTACCTCCATGAAGCACTATTGTAACTCCATGAAGCACTGTTGTACCTCCATGAAGCACTATTGTAACTCCATGAAGCACTATTGTAACTCCATGAAGCACTATTGTACCTCCATGAAGCACTATTGTACCTGCATGAAGCACTATTGTACCTCCATGAAGCACTATTGTACCTCCATGAAGCACTATTGTAACTCCATGAAGCACTGTTGTACCTCCATGAAGCACTATTGTACCTCCATGAAGCACTATTGTAACTCCATGAAGCACTATTGTACCTCCATGAAGCACTATTGTAACTCCATGAAGCACTGCTGTACCTCCATGAAGCACTATTGTAACTCCATGAAGCACTATTGTAACTCCATGAAGCACTATTGTACCTCCATGAAGCACTATTGTACCTCCATGAAGCACAATTGTAACTCCATGAAGCACTATTGTACCTCCATGAAGCACTATTGTACCTCCATGAAGCACTATTGTACCTCCATGAAGCACTATTGTACCTCCATGAAGCACTATTGTAACTCCATGAAGCACTATTGTACCTCCATGAAGCACTATTGTACCTCCATGAAGCACTATTGTACCTCCATGAAGCACTATTGTACCTCCATGAAGCACTATTGTACCTCCATGAAGCACTATTGTAACTCCATGAAGCACTATTGTACCTCCATGAAGCACTATTGTAACTCCATGAAGCACTATTGTACCTCCATGAAGCACTATTGTACCTCCATGAAGCACTATTGTACCTCCATGAAGCACTATTGTACCTCCATGAAGCACTATTGTAACTCCATGAAGCACTATTGTACCTCCATGAAGCACTATTGTACCTCCATGAAGCACTATTGTACCTCCATGAAGCACTATTGTACCTCCATGAAGCACTATTGTAACCTCCATGAAGCACTATTGTACCTCCATGAAGCACTATTGTAACTCCATGAAGCACTA